TGCAGACAGGCAGTCTGTAACTTTGAAACACATATTGCTGGGGGAGCTGTGGGACAACGGCACTCTCTACTACATTACTGGTAAGGTATAAATGGGCACATACCTAATTCAGAGAGAGGGCAACTTAATCACTGCTGTCCTCATTATAATTACCTAAGTGTTTTGACCCAGCAGTGGGAAGCTATCCTATAAATGTGCACATGAGCAATACGAGCTCCGTGTAAGGGTGTTTGTTAAGAGTACTGTTCAATACAGCAAAGTACTGGCAAAGGCAGGGGACCAGCTAGTATCAGAATACTCAGTCATAAAAACAAAGGCACTCTCTTGCAGCCTTTGGGGCTCATTAGGTTTAGATGGGTCCTGAGTATTAGAGGATGAAGAACAGGGAGTATGACTGTATCCTCTCCTCCCGTGGTGTAAAGAGAAGGGAAACTGGATGCACGTGAACACAGTGTGCATCTTCACAGGTACCAAATATTTCTGGACAGATCAAAAGAAATTTGGTTGTCTATGGGGAGGCAATTCAGTGGCTGGAAAATAAGGGAGGGTAACTTTTAAACGTTGGAACCATGTTACCAATCACTAATTATCAATTCAATGGATTAGATTAACATTCAAAACCTCTTCCTCTTTCCCTTATCTCCTTCCACTTTTCTGCTCTTTCCAGTAAGAGTTCTCACATGACTGGCCACTTCAGTGTACTTTCTTTCTTTCCTTTTTTCCTAAGTATTGTTTTAATCTTTATCCTCTGTCATTAAAAAAAGACACTGAGAACTCCCTGTGGCCTGTGTTCCCTGCCTACCCTGTACCTCCATCCCTACTCCCTTTCCCCTGCCTTCAAGGAACCACTATTATTAGTTTCTTGCGTATTCTCCAATGTTTCTTTTTGCAACTATCAGCAAATATTTTCCCCCATTACCACCCAAAAAGCAGCATACCATGTATGCTGTTCTGCACCTTGCTTTTTTCACTTAAAAATAGATTGTAGGCTGGGCGAGGTGGCTCACGCCTGTAATCCCAATACTTTGGGAGGCTGAGGCAGGTAGATCACCTGAGGTTAGGAGTTCGAGACCAGCCTGGCCAACATGGCGAAACCCTGTCTCTACTAAAATACAAAATGTAGCCAGGCAGGGTGGCAGGTGCCTGTAATCCCAGCTACTCAGGAGGCTGAGACAGGAGAATTGCTTGAAGCTGGAACGCAAAGGTTGCAGTGAGCTGAGATGGTGCCACTGCACTCCAGCCTGGGCGACAGAGTGAGACTGTCTCAAAAAAAAAATAGATTATAGAGATCTTTCTGTATCAATACATAGGAACTTTTTTTTCTTTTATTTTTGAGACGGAGTCTCACTCTGTCACTTAGGCTGGAGTGCAATAGTGTGGTATCAGCTCACTACAACCTCCACCTCCCAGGTTCACACGATTCTTCTGCCTCAACCTTCTAAATAGCTGGGACTACAGGCACCCACCACCACACCCGGCTAATTTTTGTATTTTTAGTAGAGACGGGGTTTCACTACTTTGGCCAGGCTTGTCTCTAACCGCTGAACTCCTGAATCTGCCCGCCTAGGCCTCCCAAAGTGCTGGGATTACAGGCGTCAGGCACCGCACCAGGCCAGAAACTTCTTTGACCCTTTTATTCCCAAACAGCTTCATTGTATTTCATGGTGCGGCGGCACCATCATCCATTTAACTGTCTCTTGGCGATGAGCACCTGCTGTTTCCAAACTGTTGCCATTATAAACAACGCTGGAGCCAATAACCCAGAACATGCATCCAGGGGTACACAAGCAGGAATTCAGGCATAAACTCCCAGGAGCGTGTCCATGGGCAAAAGCACTGGCGATTCCCTCAGAGGGTGCCAAGTTCCTTCCACAGCGTATGCACCACCTCCACTTCCCTGGCACCCATTTCTCTCAACCTTGCCATGCTATCAAACTTGGATTTTTCAAAATCTGATAGGTAAGAAATGGTATCTCACCATCATTTAATGTGCACTTCTCTTATTCTGAATGGGATTCAGCACTTTGTGCCCACGTTCATGGGTCATTTGTATTTCATTTGCGCGGATCTTTGCTCATGTCCTTTACCATGTTCCTGCTGAGTTCGTCCATTTTTTTCCTAGCACTTTTGTGACTTTCACTTTTGCTATTTTTGGTCTTTTCAGTCTGTAGCGGTACAGGGTCAAACCGTATCATATCCGAATGGGCCACGCCACTTACTACCCCTGCTGACTGGGAAGCAAGTCTCACATCTAAGTTCCCTCGCGTGTGGAGGTGTGTCCCTTCCCTTGCCGTGTCTGCATTCGTCAGCAGCCACGCTACGCGGCTGGACCAAATGGAGCATCACAACGGGTTTTATTTTATCCTATTTTACGTTTTCTGAGACAGAGTCTCGCTCCTCCCGTCCACCCGCCGGCGCTCCTCGAGCTGTCTCCTCCGGGAGCGGCAGCGCTGCAGGAAACCTGGTCTTCCCCCTCTGCGGTCACGGCCATCTCTCGCGAGCCCCCCTAGAATCCCGCCCGCGCAACTCCCACGCCACAGCCCGGGCCGCCTCTCTCTCCGGCCTCGCCTCCCAAGGCCCCATCCCTGTGCCGGCGCCTGCTGGTCCGGCGCGCGGGCCACTCGCCCCGCTCTTCAGGGCCAGCGCCGGCTCCCCGGCCTCCCCGCCTCCCCGCCGTGGCCTGCGCCCCTTTACTTCCTTTCTCTAGAGGGGTCGGCAGTGGGCTGCTTCTCCCACCCGCCTTCTCCGAGCTGATGCCGAAGCCGTATGGACGCGACGAAGGCGGCCTGCCGCGGAGTAGCCAGACGCGCCCCTTGGCCGCCCGACTGAGGACCCGGCGGGCGGGACCCGAAGGCAGCGCCTGCGCACCCGCTCTCTGCGCTCGCCGGTCACGTGGGGCCACGAGTGGCACCGCTTCCGGAAGTGCCCCCCGGAATCGCGAGCAGCGTGGGCGCCGGGTTCCGCCGGGGCCGGGCTCTTGCGCAGGCGTCCTGGGGGGATGCTCGCGTGCCGACTTCCGCGTAGTCGCCTTCCTCTCCCAAAAAGCGGGCCGCGAGGATGGGCGACGCCAGAGATTTCCTAGCCTGTGTGTCGCGAGGCTGCGCTTTACTTGGAGCGTTACGCGCACTCGGCGGGGATCCCGAGCCCCGCGCGAGCCTCCCTGCCAGTGTGTGGCGCCGTTACTGACGCTGAGGCGTGAACACGGAGCCGGCCCAGAGGGGCTATTGTCCCGGACGCCGAGTCCACCCAGCGTGGCCGCCGGGCCGGGCAGAGGGGACCTGCAGGGAGCCGCGGGCCGCGTCCCTCCCGGAGGTCTGCGAGCTTCTCGAGGCCTCACGCCCCGTTTGAGTGCCCCTGCTGCCCTGTGGCGCTGCTCCTCCATCCCTGCGGCGACCGTCGGCCGCGTTCCCTACGCCTTGCTCACGTCTTGGTGCCAGGGCCAGGGCGTGCCCCTGCCCGATCCTCGGCATTGCCCAAGGGAGTTTGCACTGCCCACCGTGCCGGGTCTCTGTGGAGAGGAGCCGTCCACCTGCCTGACAGGGCCCAGCTTTAGAAAGACCTTGGTTTTGTCTGCTGGGTGGACTGACCCTGGCCCTCAGCCCAGGCCTGGGCTGGGCAGTAGGGTGAGACGAGCAGGGGCATGATGCCCAGGTGGAATGTGGATTTCTCTCCAGGGTGGCAGAAGAGGGTTTAGAGGCAGCAGTGGGATTGGGGAGAACCCTGACCGCGTCTCAAAACGTCAGGACACGCCAGATCTAGGGGAAAAATATCACAGGGCTGAGAGAGTTTGGTTTGGTGCAAATCTGGGAATCCCTCAACACTTCCACTTCCCTAATCCTGCTAACAGTTAACAACTTCCTACAGGCTGACACCTCAGGAATAAGCTCCTTCACCTGCGTTCTCTCTGTTTATTCTTTCTTCCAGTCTTTCATATATATATATATATTTTTTTTTTTTTTAA